TGCTTTCCAGTCAGCATCATCCTTATATATATTTTTCAGCCATGAGACACGGACAGAGGTTGAACACCTTGTAATTTGGCAGCAATGAACAAAACAGCACGAGGCCTTTCTTGTGTGGGGTTCAAGGTTAGTTTCCTGATGGTGGCATTTCCAAAATACCAGATTTCATACTTTCAAACTGTGTAAAGGCTGATCAAGGAGTTTGAGGGGAAAGATGGCCTTGATTTGTTGATCGTAGGACTGTGTACTTAATTAACTCTCGACAGTGTCTGAGGATGTCAGACTATGTTAAGTTGGAATCTCCTGTTGGCCAGGAGGTGTAGGGCATTCTTGTGGTCTTCCTGTAGTGGTTTCAAAGGGGGACTGTTTCTGAGGAGGATGGGGTGAGGATCCGGGAGTCATAAGAAGGATGGGTAACACCCATGGCCGTAGACAACCCAGTTCTTCAGACAGTTTAGCCAGCTTGGACTCTGGACATGTGGGCTCTTCCTAAGATGCCTGATAACTGAGGCTGTGATGGCAATGGAGTCTTCGACCAATGTGTTGTATTTATAATTGCTTATGTAATTTTGCTAGTGAAATTTGATCTTTCATTAGAAGTTATAGAGGGGATACCCCAAGTGGGATAGATTACTTCCAGGAAAATGTTGGCAACTGACATTGTGGAGACATTTTGGCAGCAGAAAAGCCTCCAACCGTTTAGAAAACATACAGATCAGTGTGGGGACACACTGGGGACGTACTGGCTGCTAGGCCTCTGGTAATTGGCTGAAGTGTATTTGACAGTGAAGGAAGGGTCCAGGGTAAGCTGTTCCCCTTCCTCAGCCCATGTTTAGAATTTTCCCAGGGGTATGTTTCTGGCAGAGGAAGTGAGGGGCAGCTGCTCGGTCCAGATAAAAGCTAAAGGGTTCAAGCCATTGTTTGTCCAGCATGTCCTGCATTTGTACCTTTCTGGGAGGAGTCAGGTGTAAACACCAACAATGACTCTGGTGATAGATTTGAGTGGGCCGTGTGGATCTCCTGTGTTATTTCCTTGGGAGGCATCTTGAAGAAGTTGTTTCCTTCAAGGGAGGTGTCTGTTTGGGTTGCTATAACAAAGTATGTGAGACTGGGTAATTTATAAACAACAGAAATTTTTTGCCCACAGTTCTGGAGGCCGGGAAGTCCGAGATTGAGGTGCCAGCAGGCTTGGCATCTGGCGAGGGGTGCTCCCTGCTGCATAGATGTGCCTTCGTGCTGTGTCCTCACATGATGGACGGGGCAGACAAGCTCCCTGAGGTCTGTTTTATGAGGGCGCTAATCCCACTCATGAACCTAAGCTCCCTCATGATCAAATCACCTTTTAAAGGCCTCACCTCTTAATGATTTTACATTGGAGATTTGGTTTCAACATGAACTGGGGGTTGAGGGCACACAGAATTCAGACCGTAGCAGAGGGTGAATCATCCCACCAGGGGCCCGGGACCTTGGAGTGCGAGCCAGGGCTGTGGTCCCAAGGCCTGGAAACCACGTGGGTTTCTCATGCGGTGGGGAAGAGCCTCCTAGTTTGGCATATTGATGAGCCCACTTATTTTCCCAAGTCTCATCTGATTTCTTTATGCCGCATCCCTCAGTTTTAATAAGAGCGGTTTGTTGGGGTAACAACAGTGCCTCCAGAAGTTCTGCTGTTTGACTGGGGTGCTGGCCGCTGTCGTAAATCCCCCATTTCTGTGGCACACCCACATCAGGCACTGCCCCAAAGGCATGGCGACTGTCAGCATAGATGTTTCACCATCATTCCTTCTGTCTTCATGCAAGCCCGAGTGAGAGTGATTCATTCAGCCACCTGGGCTGATTTAACACATGGCAGGGCTGGATGGCCAAGAGGTTTGTGCTGGTTAGTGACGGCATATCCAGCCTGGAAGGGCCCATCCTCCCTCCAGAGATAGGAGCCATCGACATAAAGAGTGAGATCTACTTGGGGCAGAGGGGTTTCTGATGAATCTAATCTAGGATGAGACAATCATCTCATGTTAGTGACACGGGTGTCACTAACATCCACTAACTAACCATAGGTAAAGGAAGCAAGTGGCAGGGTTAAGGCTTTGGTGGTGTAGTATGGTTACGTGAGGGGGAAAGCAGTAGATTTCATAAGAGAGAAGTTTAGCCACAGAGGAATGCTGTGTTCTCGTTAAGTAGCAGGGTCTGTAGGGTCTGAACGGGATGAGGAATGTGTGTGTCCAATAGGCGACCCTGTTGCAAGTGAGACAGGCAGCCTAGACAAGACTGGTGGTTGCAGCCCTGGGTCACAGGCAGGGGACATGCCTCAACCCGAGCTCGGTGAAGCTCTCACAACCCAGGTTTTGATGTTTTGGGGAGAAGGCTCCAAGACATGATCCTCTCCTTCATGCACAAGGAAGGACAAAGGCAGGGAGTAATTGGGAAGTTCAAGGTGGGGGTGAAAGTAGAGAGCTCTTCAGGTTCTCACAAGTGTCTTTAGATAGGGAGTTTCTTACTGCTGGGTCGAGGGATGGCTCCCTCATCGCGGCCTAAAGAGAGGAGGCAATTGGAGAGAAATTAGGCATCCGCATCCTACCACATCCCACAGGACCCCCACTTCCCCACGCCCAGTTGTTCTTTTGCTTCCAGGAAAGGAAAATGTTGAAGACTAGAAACTTGGTCTGTAGAGACTGTTTTTTCCTGTGACCAAGATATCATAGCTCAGATACCAGACACACGGAGAGGATAACTGAACTTTGTGTCTAGCCACTCCATGGCCCTTTTTGCTAACGCCCTAAGGAGGCATTCACCGTGCAGAAGGGAGCTGTTATCACTTTCAGAACATAGGAGGAGGTCATCCACAGTTAGATTACGGTCGAGTTTCCTGGGAATTTTGCCTCCTTCAGATTTGCACTTAGGGTGTGTGAGAAGTAGGTAGGGCCCTCAGTAAATCCTTGGGCCATAACGGTCCAGGAATATGGTTCATTTTCCCAGGTGAAGGTGACAAGCCTGGGGAATTCTCATGGTAGGGAATTCTAAAAAAGGCAGTGCACACATTGATGATGACTGTGAAATACTGTGTTAGAAGTGATCACGGCCAGGACAGTGTTAGCATTAGGCACCAAAGAAAGCCTGGGTTTGACAATTTTTTTATAGATCTCAGATCTCGGACCAGCTGATATATTTTTTCCCATTTGGCTTTTTAGTGGCCAGAATGCGAGTGTTGCATGGACTGGAAATATAGGGCAATACCTTTCAAGTCCCTCTGGTTTTAAATGATTGTTTGCAAATCTTGTGGAGGGGCACGGAAGGATCTATTTCTATCTTACAGGGTTCTGCATCTCAAATACATCTAATATCCATGGAGTTTCTTATCCACAAAGAAGGAGGAATCCTGCCTAACAGCTGATGGAAGTCCTTGGTTAAGTGAGTGCCAGGTGGAGGGAAGCAGAGGAACTTAGGGAAGTCGGACACAGTGTTGGGGAATATAGATGAGCAGGAAGGAGTCCCTGGGGACACCGTGGATTCTAATACCCCGATTCAGGAGAAGATCCCTTCCTAGCAGATTTACAGGGTGGTAGGACTGAGAAGGAAATTGTGCTGCTTGAAGAGATCCCACAGAACTGTTTTGAGGCTGAGAAAGAGGCAAGTCACGAGGCACAGGATGAAAACCCACCCCTGGTGAAGGTGGGGGACTCGGAGGAATGAAGAGGGAGAAGAGGAGACCGTAAGGGTAGGATGCGTTGTCCTGGACCGATGAGAAGTGTGATGGAGTCCCCGTTCAGGTGGCAGAGTGACTTCTCCTGTTGAGTTTAGTGGCAGTTAAGGGCATTGGACGTTTGTCCCCTGCAGGGCAGGCAGTGATTTTGTGACGGGCAGAGGACTCGGAATTCTTTCCTCCGCTGGAGGGCTGACCTGTTTCTCCCCACGAACCAGCAGATGTCCAGGCCCACAAGAGCCGGTGGTTTCTGAGCTTGTTGTGGGTCAAATGTTTCAGGTTTTTTCCTGATGATTTTAATCGCAGTGCATTGTGCATTGTGTATTTTCCAAATGGACGGGGTTGTTACGTGCCACGAATTCTGCAGTTCTCAATGAGAAAGTTTAGGATTAGACTGAACTGTTACTTAAATCACTCCGGTGTTTTTCAGGTTGTCTCAAAATCTTAGTTTAGAAAAACACGGCCGGGCGCGGTGGCTCAGGCCTGTAATCCCAGCACTTTGGGAGGCCGAGACGGGCGGATCACGAGGTCAGGAGATCGAGACCATCCTGGCTGACACGGTGAAACCCCGTCCCTACTAAAAAATACAAAAACTTAGCCGGGCGAGGTGGCGGGCGCCTGTAGTCCCAGCTACTCGGGAGGCTGAGGCAGGAGAATGGCGTGAACCCGAGAGGCGGAGCTTGCAGTGAGCTGAGCTCTGGCCACTGCACTCCAGCCTGGGCGACAGAGCAAGACTCCGTCTCAAAAAAAAAAAAAAAAAAAAGAAAAACACAATAATAACCATTATGACAACTTAGTTTTTAAAAATAATGCCTCTTTATTACCCTTTTCAAATCAGAATGCCCATAACCTCCTTTTCCCTTCATTATAAGCCTGTGGAGCAGATAAGGCAGGCAGTCCTATTCCAGTTTCGGAAATGGAAGAGAGAGGCCAAAAGACAGTAAGGCCCTTCATCTGTTCATTTGATCCCTGATGCCTCCATCTCATCCATGTTGTACCCCTCGCCACCGCCCATCCAGAATTGATTGAGTACCCCCAGGCAGCAGGCCCTGGGGAGACCGAGAGACTCAGATGCAGGCTTGTCCTCAGACAGCCCACAGTTCAGTCGGGGGAATGACAGGTCCAGTGATACAGCTATTTAGTTCTGGAATCAGCCCTGGAGACCATGGCTTCTGATTTCAAATGTGCAGAACTTTTCAATTCAACTCAGCTTGGAACTTGACCTGGTTCTTGGGAGCAAGTATTAGGCGACCTTCATCCCAGGATGAGGGGAGGGTGCAGGCGACCAGTCCAGGATGACACAATGTGCTCATGGCCCGTTTACTCCCTCACCGCAGCGGGTCATGGCTATTTGAAGACAGCGTGGCAACAGAAACAAAAACGACCCTGGCTTTCTTCCCCCACCATCATCGGTGTATTTCGGAGCGAAGCAGCACATTTCTGGTGCCTTCTACGTTGCTTTTCAACAGAGAAGACAGAAAACTGGGTGGAGGGAAGTGGATGCAGGGGAAGGAACACAGCGGGCATTAGGGTCGGGTGGAGCTGGGCTGGGTCGTCGGTTCTCCATGTGGCCTCCATGTGGCCTGGGAAGCCCCTTAACCTCTCTGAGGCCCAGGTTCTTCATCTGTGTCACGGGGGAGCAGGACTTACTCTACTGATTTGCTGGAAAGGTTAGAGACGACTCTATAAAGTGTGCATGGCCAGTGCTGAGCAAACGGCAGCTGTCATTGCCAACCCACCTGACCAAAACCCATTCCTGGATCCATATGCTACTTCCCATTTTAAACAGTCTGAAATATTTTCTATTTAAAATGTTTAAAATGTTTTATTTTCCCCCCATTTACTATTAAAAATTAGCAACACAGAAACAGGTGCATTGACAAAGTAATTTTATGCCTTTTGAACTTTTCTTCAGAGTTTCTATTTAAACCATCTTATTTAATAGAGTGACTCGTGCCTATGGTGAATACATAGTTTTAAGAGATATACATTTAAAGTAAGTCTCCCAAAATAAAAAATTTAAAAAATAAAATTAATTTCAGCCTGCCAATACTGCTAATTTGTTAGAAAAATAAGTCGATAAGTAGTAAAATCTACATTTGAACTGATGCTATTTGTTAAGAAATAAATAATTTGGTGCACCATCGACAGTTCACATCAATGTGTTTCACATTAATGGCAGATTGGATAAATGCCTGATTTTTGAATATTCATTTTGAGCAATGAGATTGAAGTAAAGTAAAAAGAGAATTAATGTTTGTTTTTCCTCCCTTGTCAAAGGGTTTGATTTATATTACAGATAATTGTATGTGCAACTTCTCTATCAGATTGCAAGTTTTTGTTGGCAGAGAGTTGAGGAAAATTCAAAGTGTGAAGAAAGAGGAGAGATAATGAAATTAAATTGAGATGAACTATATGATGAGATGTATTCAGCATCCCACTCCAAGGGCAATAAATTTTTTCCACTGGTCTATCTGAAAAAAAAAAAAAAAGTCTTTTGGTTTATATCACTAGTTCTCTAGTGATTCTCCCAGAGGGAACCAGCGTCACAGTTTCTGCTCTCTTCCTAGGATGCGCCGTGCATGGTCAGGCGTTTATAGGTATATGTGTACTGCATGCACTGTTGTGTACCTTCCACCCAATTTATCTTGGATATGTTTTTTTTTTTTTAATCAGCATATATAAATTGTGCTTTCAAAAATGAGTATCAGGTGTTCAAAAATTCACATGTACCAGTGTTTATTTACCAGTGATGGGATTTGATATGTGCTCATCTACAACCTACCACAGACTTTCAGGGAAACTGTTTTCTGGGTGTTTTAGATGGAGTTGTTCATTCAGCTACCTGGAAGATGGATCATCTCTGCCTGAACAACACGGGCCCCAAACCCAGCATGGTGATATTGGTCTAGGTTCATTCTTCAGCTCAACCAGCAAACTTTTAGAGATGTGTGAAGTCCATTTCTCCCTCTGAACTTGCCATTTCCCAGTTTATAAATCAGATTATTGTTTCTTCTCTTTATCTTAAAAATTCAAAAAATTTTACAGGTTTTTGTATTTACAGGCTTATTATAAAAATGCGGAAATCTAGAAAAGCATAAAGAATAAAATGGAAATCTAGAAAAGCATAAAGAATAAAATAAAAATCTGCAGTTATCCCATCCCTCAGAGACAACTGATACAGAAGTGCTGGGAAGGGAAGAGTGTGGCCCCTTTAAACGATACAGAAGGGGGAAGGGAAGTGCTGGGGAGAGGAGGGCGTGGTCCCTGACTAGGGCTCTACCCAGGGGACATGTGTGAGGACAGGCATTTTTGTTTCCCTGCCCAAATGTTGCATTTCCCAAGACCACCCTGGCCTGCCATGCCCCCATCCTGTGCCTATAAAAACTCGAGACCCTAGCAAGGCAGAGACAGAAATGGCTGGACGTCGAGAGGAGCACATCGGTGGAGGAACACACAAGTGGTGCGTCAAGAGGGACGCACGAACAGGCACCGGCACACCGGCAGGCCACCAAAGGCAGACCAGCACGGAGTTTGGCTGGGCAGTTGGAGGAAACTTGGGGTGCTGAGAGGCCTGATTCCAGGGAAAAACCATCTCCCTTTTGGCTCCCCCATCTGCTGAGAGCTACTTGCACTCATTGAAACCTTGCACTCATTCTCCAAGTGCACATATGGTCCAATTCTTCTGGTACGCCAAGGCCAGAACCCAGGATACAAAGCCCTTTGTCTTTGCGACAAGGCAGGGGTATAATTGAGCTGATTAACACAAGCCACCTACGGCTAAACTGAAAGAGCAGCCTGTAACACCCCACCCCCCCGGGGCTTCAGGAGCTGGAAACGTTTACCCCTAGACACTGCCATGGGGTCGGAGCCCCACAGCCTGCCTGTCTGTATGCCCCTCTAGAGGTTGGAGCAGTGGGGCACTGGAGAAGCGAGCCACATCCCATCGCACGCTCTGCGAGGGGGACAAGGGAACTTTCCTGTTTCACAACCACTATTAACCCTAAGGTACCTTCACTCCTAGTGCTCTTTCTGTAGCCCACTGTTGTGGTTTTTGTCTACGACATTAATTATATTTGACCCTTTTTCCCCTGTAGATATAAATTCTGCATAAACAAATTTTAATGGCTGTATACTTTATGGTGTGACTGTGGCATAATTTATTTGACCAGTCTTCCATACTTAGACATTTTATGTGAGAAAGACCTTCACCTCTAAATCTTTGTCCACTCTCCTGTGGGGTGGATTTCATGGTGTGGGATGAGTGGGTCAGTGGTTATTGATCCGTTATATTACATTGATCTATTTTGCCCAAGTGTTCTTCAAGAAGACTGTGCTGATTTTCAGCTGCATCAGCAGTGGGTTGGTTGCCTGTTTCTCAATACTCAGGATAAGACTATAAATTAAATTTCTTAAAAATCGAGACAAAATATAGCAAGACCTTGTTTAAACATTTATTATTTTATTCCTCTTAGTAATCTATATTTATAAAAACTTGCAGCCTAAACCAGTTAGGAAAACCAATAGTTGAAAACATTGTAGCAAATCTTTATTGTAATTGTAATAGCACATGGATAAACTCTGATATAACTTGCATAGAACATTTCTTTTTATGACTTCTTGTGGGCAGCATCTTAAATATGGAATAAGTTGGACTCTGGGTTGATTGGAAGCCTCTTTTGCCACAAAACCTTAGCAGAGAAAATAGATTCTCTTTATTGTGACAAACATATTCAATTAAGATTTATATTTACTCTAAAGAGAGATATTTCTCAAATTCTAAGTAATTTGCATTTAAGGAAAAAGAAAAAATGGCAGTAACAGTAAATTATAATGTAAAAAAATTAACCAGAATTGCAAAGTTGAGCTTACTTATTCTTAAAGGATATCAAGGATATCATTTATTCTTTTTAGACTTAAACAATACATCTTGTATTTTACATTATTTTAATGGGAATTACAAGAGATTGAAACTGTTGCATGTGTCTTTGATTACGGCATAGTCTCATGAACACTACTAACTTTGTGATGGGTTTTGAAAATCTTCTAAGCACTTCCTCTCCCTCTACACATAGAAACAATAAACTAACACCCCTAAGATTATACTGAAGTTGCCTTAAAACTCAGGAGTGAAATAAGCGGTTCCTATTAACTTTTCAAAGGAATACATGTTATTTTCTTTGGGAGATGATCTCGGCTCCCGAGAAAGGGAAAGCAGCTACATTATTTCAGGCAAAATTGTCTGCCTGTTTTCCAAATGGACACAATTTTCTTTCATTTTACCCATTATAGTAGTGGGAGACATGTTTTATAAAAAGTGGAGTTATGTTCTATTCATCTGGGCATTTTAGATTTTATAAAATGCCCACATTTTTATCAAGCTGCCCAGAATGTCACAACTGTGGAGTTGGAGCCCCACAGCCTGCCGGTCTGTATGCGCCCCCTAGAGGTTGGAGCAGTGGGGCACTGAAAAAGCGAGCCACACCCCCATCGCATGCTCTGCGAGGGGGACAAGGGAACTTTCCCGGTTTCACAACCACTGTTAACCTTAAGGCACCTTCACTTTCTGTAGCCCACTGTTGAGGTTTTCATCTACAACAAAACCGTGTGTGTGTATATATATATATATACACACACATATACATACACACACACATACACACACACACACACACACACATCTGTCACCAGGCTCTGTGACATTCTGTACAGCTTGATAAAGTCCTTAATAGGGCATGATATGTAGTATTGGAGGCTACTTAGTGCATCCCATTGTTTTTACAGTTCTTTAATTATATATGTATTGAATTTTCAATGTTTCCCCCTGAAACTTAACGTATTAATGGATGCTTTTCTTTTTATCCTTACAGTGTTTTTACAAATGGAAGATTATTTATTCCACCTGCAAAAATCATTATACCCAAATTTAGTCTGTCCGACTGGGACATCGTGCTGGCCACGATCGGAGAAAAAGTCTTCCCTCTAGGAGGCGTTCGGAAGTAAGGAGACTCTTGCCTATAGGACAGCCAGGGGGCGGCAGCTTGTGTTTATTCTTTTCTATGAGAGTTTTCTGCCTGGACCAGCAAGGTCTAAAATGATTCACCATAAACTCTTAATTTTCATTCTTCAAGCTGATAGTATTTTTTCAATCTTGGTTTTATACTTACTTTTAACCAGCCTCATTCATTTATTCATTCAGCAAACCATTGAGCATCTACTGTGTGCTAGGGGTGGAGAATACAGCATTGCTAAAAGGAGTCTTGCTCCCTGAAACCCCTACTGAGTGGGCCAACCTTTCAAGTTGCTAGAATACTGCAGTTGGTGTGTGTATATATATATATGTGTGTGTGTGTGTGTGTGTGTGTGTGTATATGTGTGTGTGTGTATATATATATATATAATGAGGCCTCCCAGTTGGTCTGGAGGAGCCAGGCCTGTGGGAGCTGGTGTTTGGATTGAGTCTTGGCAGAGATGGGGGAAATGAATTTCATGGGACAGAAGAGCACGTGGGAGGGAGTTAGTGTGTGTAATGGCTTCTAGCATGGGCTTGGGGGTTCGACATGGAGCAAATCTCCTCTCCGCTGTCGGTGTCTCTGTTACCTCGGGCACATTCCTAACTCCTCGATGCTTGTTTTGTTATCTGGAAACCTGGAAATAATAATACCTACTTCCAAGGGTCCTAATATGTGTAAAGTGCTTAGCATAACACTCAGTGCATAGTAGGCATGAAATGAGTTTGTGATTATGGTTGTGACAGTCGATGAGGCACAAACAAGCAGAGTGTGTTGAGGAAACACCACAGTGTCGTCACAGGAATTCAGCAGTGTTGTGAGGGAAGCGGCCAGCCCCCAGGCCAGAACGTAGGTCCCATGAATACCTTACAGACCAGGCAAGGGGCTTGCTGTCTTGCAGCCAGTGGGTCCCAATTGTGTGAACGAAGGCTCACAGTGGTGGTCGTCCATCGTGATGATGGATTGAAGGTGGGAGGTGAGAGATGGGCTGTGAGCCAGGTGGCTGTGAGGATAATCTGGGTCGGCCTTCAGCTTTAACCACATGCACAGGCTGAAAGTGAAGGGATGGGAAAACTGTCCCATGCAAGTGGAAACCAGAAGAGAACAGGGGCAGCTGGACTTACCTCAGACAAAACTGACATCATGTGAAAAACTGCAGCAAGAGATAAAGAAGGTCACCACATTATGTTAAAAGGGTCGGTCCATCAAGAATATACAACAGTTATAAATAGATATGCAGCCATCACTGGAGCACCTAAATATATAATATGCAAGTATTACCAGAACTGAAGGGAGAAGTAGACAGCAATACAATAATAGGAGGCGACTTCAGTACCCCACTTTCAACAATGAATACATCATCCAGACAGAAAGTCAATAAGGAAACCGTGGGCTTGAATAACAATATAAACCCAATGGACTTAACAGACTTCAGAACATTCTGTCCACCAGCAGCAGAATACACATTCTTCTCACGTGTACACAGCATTCTCCAGGATAAATCATATTAGGCCACAAATCAAGTCTTAGCAAATGTAAGATTGAAATCATATCAAGTATTTTTTCTGACCATAATGATACAAAACTAGAAATCAGTAACAGGAGGAAAATTGGAAAATTCACAAATATGTGGAAATTTAACAATGCACTCCTAAACAACCATTGGGTCAAGGAAGAAATCAAAAGGGAAATAAAAAAATATCTTGAGAGCAACAAAAATGGAAATAAATACTAGAACTTACGGGATTCAGCAAAACCAGTTCTAAGAGTGAATTTTATAAAGAAAATGCCTATATTGGTCAGGCGGGGTAGCTCACACCTGTAATCCCAGCACTTTGGGAGGCTGAGGCGGGTGGATCACCTGAGGTCAGGAGTTCAAGACCAGCCTGGCCAACATGGTGAAACCCTGTCTCTTCTAAAAATACAAAAAATTGCCAGGCATGGTGGCGGGCATCTGTAATCCCAGCTACTTGGGAGGCTAAGGCAGGAGAATCACTTGAATCTGGGAGGTGGAGGTTGCAGTGAGCTGAGCTTGCGCCATTGCAATCCAGTCTGGGCAGCAAGAGCAAAACTCTCTCAAAAAAAAAAAAAAAAAAAAAAAAAAAGAAAAGAAAAATGCCTATATTAAGGAAAAAGAAAGATCTCAAACAATCTAACTTTACACCTCACTTTTATTAACAGAATGAAAGAGATCACATGATCATCTCAATAGATACAGAAAAGGCACTGGACAAAATTCAACCTTTCACGATCAAAGCTCTCAGCCAATTAGTATACAAAGAATATATCTCAACATAATAAAAGCCAAACACGACAAGCCCACAGTTAACATCATACTCAACGGTAAAATGCTGAAAGCTTTTCTTCTAAGAAACAGGATAAAGGTGCCCCACTTGTACCACTTACATTCAGCATAAGGCTGGAAGTCCTAACAAGAGGAACCAGACGAGAAAAAGAAACAAAAGGCATCCACATTGGAAAGGAAGAAGTCAAATAATCTGTTTGCAGATGATATGATTTTATATATAGAAAACCCGAGACTGTACCAAAAAACTGTTAGGATAAAAGAATTCAGTAAAGTTGCAGGTTACAAAACCAACATACAGAAATCACTTGTGTTTCCACATAATCTCAACAAGCTATCTGGAAAAGAAATTAAGAGAAAAATCCCATTTACCAAAGCACCAAAAAGAGTAAAATACTTAGGAATAAATTTAACCAAGCAAGTGAGAGCTCTCTACACTGAAAACTATAAAACATTGATGAAAGAACTTGAAAAAGATACAGTAGATGGAAAGATACCGTGTTCATGGATTGGAAGAGTTATTATTCCTCCAATATTGTACTGGAGCAACCGCACCAGTGAGAGATCTTTTCTGAGGTGGGGAGTCCTGCAGTGGAGCAGGTTTGGTTGTTGATAACAAGTTAAAGAATCAACTCAGACATGCCTGTGGGACCCGCAGGCCTGGGCTGCAGACGGAGATGGAAGCTGGAGTTTTCGAGTGGGGATGTGTGAACTCAGTATCGGTGGAGCTGTGTGTGGGTGAGACCCCCGGGAGCTGGCCTGGAGAAGGTGGGCAGCTCAGGTGCCTGTGGGGTCTTCCATCAACTGCTTGTCACTTTGTGAGAATGTGGGGCTGTTGTGGTCAGAGTTTTCACAAGAAGCCAGAAACGTCAAACCATATAAAACAAAGACAAGAATCCTCCTCTCATGGGTTCTTTTTATGCCCCTGTTCTGTCCACAGGCAAGGTTTTGGGTATCCTATAAGGGCAGCTCTGTTTTCCTTGGCATCTCTCTGGCCTCAAGTTCGTGCCCTCGTGGTCCTGATGCTGGAATGGATTTCCACGTGTATGTGGCCCTGCCCGTTGGTGCCTCATCTGACCACGTGGCACCTGATCCTGCCTTTGCCCCGGATGCGGTTTCTTGAATTCTTTTTGCCTCGTGTTCTGTGGCTATGGACTCCTGGCCCTCTGCCTGTTCCCAGTCCTGGATCCGTCAACTAGCTGGGGGTGGAGTTCTTGGGGGTAGTTTGGAGTGGGAGATAAAGGGAAGCCACAGAGGGGCGTGCAGAAGAGCTGCAGACTCCAGAGTGGAGGCAGCGGCCCAGGAAGGCACAACCTGGATGCCTGGGCTGGATTAGCTTCCAGCGAACACCACAGCTGAGGCCAGGGAGACGAGATCTAGAATGCGCTCTCTGCCTGCACTTAGCAGGTGGCCACCGGCACTGTGAGATGGAAGCCAGGTCCTGTGGGCGGGCTGGAGTGGTGGGTGAGAAAGCAGAGATGGGAGTGTAGGGGGTACATGTCTGTGAAACAGGGAGAGAAGGGTGATGCGGGATTGTGGCTTGAGGGGCTCAGAGCAATGACATGGTCACCGCTGAACACGAGGGGCCTGAGCACACCTCTGTCCTGAGGGAGAAGGTGGAGGAAGGAGGGGCATAGGAGCCAGACCCTGAGCAGGTGGAAGAGGGTGTGACCTGGAGGATGGATGGATGCATAAGCCGTGTGAGGTTGGGGAGCCACCCTTCCTGCAAGGCAGGGGTGGAGGTGAGGATTGGTGCAAGTACGGAAAGCTTTAAGGTAGGAGGGAAGGAAGGTGGCAAATTAATGCCTAATGGACTCTAAAAAGGGAGAAGGCTGTGTCTTGCGAATGGACAGAAGGAGAATGGGGCAGCGGGAGGGACACGGAGTGGGAGGGTTGCCGAGCAGGGTTGAGGGCCCTGCTGGACTGCGCGCTGAAGATCTGTAGCGGAACCAGCCTGCAGTTACATGTACTCTGGGGCACTCAGAAGCTGGGGACGAGAGAGGAGAAGGCAGATGGGCGGTTGGTCCACGAGGTGAGGGCAGGGAGGGACAGGCAGGGATGGGGGCTCATGTCGCAGCAGGCGAAGCCATTGCTGGCGTGGACGTGAAGCCAGAGCCAGTTGGGTGGCGTCCGGCCCAGGGTCTGGCTGTTGGTGCAGATTAGAGGAAGGTGAAGTGGGAGAGTGGGAGGCCGGGAGGTCAAGAGGCTCTAGAGGCAAGGTTGAGACATCCACCTGGGGACGCTTCTGGGCGATAATGAGGTGTGAAGGACTGCCCTGGGAGGGGCTGAGAAGGTGCAGGGGAGATGAAGATCTTCCAGGCTGAGAAGTGGGAAAACGCCGTGCAGCAAGGAGAGTTAGGAGGAGCCTGCCGTGGGCAGCGATGGTCCCCTGATGGTAGCTGCTGTGGAGGAGGAGCAGAAACAGTTAATCCTGCCTTATGCTTTTGTCATTTAACTCTCCCATGGGGGTAGATTAAAAACATTCAAGAGTGATTTGCAGTCAACAGTTGTGATACCATCAATGAAAACTGATGTCCACTTTTGAGTAGGATGTAAACTGTTGAGCCGTTTAGAGCAGTAGAGCGATGAGTAACCTCATGGCAGTGGTGATGAGCAGGTGGAAGTTAGATGCTTGTGCACAAATCTGTACTGGGAATACCTCCATACTCCCAGAATGCAGCTA